GGTAGGATTAGGGATGTAGAATATGGTCATGCAGAATATGTACTTTATAAGCACTAATAAACAGCCAATAGGTTAACAATAGGCATGCTAATAAGCAACTAGTTAATAGTTGTAACAGAGACGCTGGAGTTTGGTTAGAATCCATGAGCGGAAGTTTATTAAAGGTCAAGGCTTTAAACAGATGTCGATAATCAGGCACAGGGTCAAAGTCAGAGAAGCAGGCAGATCGTTCGTCATACACAGGGGCAGAGGCAGAGACAATAGTGGAAAGGCAGGCAATGAGTCCAAACACAAACATCAGTCCAATCAGGCGTCAGAACAGAAGGGGCAGAGTACAAATACCGTGAGTCAAGAAGTCAGGCAGAATCATACACAGGAATCAATCAGGAACAGAGGAACTATAACGCTTGGTAAGGCAGATGAACTGGCAATACTTCGCGACCAGCACATGGACTGGTCTCAGTTTATATGAGAGTCAAACAGGAAGTGAAAGCAGAGGAAGCAGAGGGAGTGGAGCACGGTCAGTACTCGGGCGAGGGCTCCCTCTAATATATATATACATATATATATATATATATATATATATATATATATATATGGCCTATATAAAATGTAATTTATTTATTTTTTTATTACTGTTAATGATCCATTTTTTCAATTATAAAATACCTATATATCAGAAATCACAGGCACGTCTGGAATGTCTAATCTTCCCAGAATTTCCATCTGTAGACGGCCGGTCACCTGACCTTTTTAACTAGTAACCATGGGGGATGTGTGTTAATGCGGTCACAGGCTCGACAGCAGCTTTGACTGATCCTCCAGCTGTCAGACTGCATGCACACGTCTGCGGGAGCCGCTTCACTAATCCACAGCTTCCACATGGACAAAAACTGGCTTTCACCAAAAAAAAAAACAGGTAACAATGGCTGCCCGAGATGCTTTGATCAATCCTTAAACTGCTGCACTGACATGCTTCATCACTTACACACTATCATTACTAAACTACTGAAATTATAACGTTTTGATTAATAATCATGGCAAAATATACAACCAAACAGTTTGCCAAAAGGCCGAAAATTTCCAGTAAATTTCTGGAAACTTTCCAAGGTTTCCAAAAATTTCCATAAAATCCTGAGAAGTCTCCAAAAATTCTGGAAATTTCCAAAATTTATCGGAAATGTTCCACCCCTCTGCAACCCTACACCACTTAGTGAATCAATTTCTTTTGTTAAAAATTAAGTGCCAAACTAGGGTTGTGACGGTGAGGAAATTTTCACACCGGTTAATCAGCATGTGACAACACGGAAAATACTGGTATCACCATGGGGGCAAGGGCGTTCCCTCTTTTCCTTGTTTTCCTTCGCTTTTAAAAGCGGCATGCGCATTTTACTTTCACTTTCAAATAGCGGCAATTCGGCGTAAAGCAATTGTTCATTTTCAGTTAGTTTGAATTTTGGCTGTCAGTCATTCGTTCAGCCTTTAAACCCTGGTCGCATTCCGTTACAGCAGTCAGCTCGGTAAAGCTCTCTCCAAGATCATTCTGTGTTCCCATTATACTTGATTTGTAAATACATGTCTATGATTTTGCAAAAAGGACTATCTTCTTGCCGGAGTTTAATGTTGTTTTGTTACTTGCTACCGGGTGTCTGTGAGAACAAAACACGGGCGTAGAAAAGACTATAAATTGTTTTTAACGTGCACAGTAACTGAAATGTAAAACTGTTAAAAGAAAGGCTCAATAACTTTTGCACAGATATAATACACTACGCATCAATTTCTCTTCCCTTTGTGCTTTGCAGTTTTTAACACGAAGAGCTTACAATGTGCGCATTTCAAAATCCAAAATCCTGCTAAACAGGAGCTTTTGCATTTCGTTTCGAAACTAAATCATCCGCCATCGTCTTGTCTGTCGTACCCCACTCTTCTTGTCAGTCAGCTCAACTCACTCTCCTCACTGGAGAAATTAAATCCGATCTGTGATGCGACTGTCGTTTGGCACGCTGCATTGAGCAGCCGCGTTCAGTTTTTAATGTCTGTTCTTTTACTGAACTAAATTATTTTTATTACTATATAAACGGTGGGGGTCGGTGCCGCGGTGGGCAAGTGACGTAACCGGTGTTGCGGCTTAACAACGGTATCACTGTCAGCACCGTCTATCGCGGCAAGCCTATGCCAAACCAATAAAAACTAAAAGTTATTGTACTCACAGAATTAAATTATTCTGAACATTAATTATTAAACTTATTTAATCACAAACATGATGTCTCTTGTGTGAATCTCAAAAATAACTGTCAAGAACACAACAAAGTCATCTTTCAGGCCTAAAATTAGAAAATGTGCATAAAACAGCACTTTTTTCAGCATTTTATCTCGTATTTTCTATTCTCTGCATTATTCAGGAGTTATTGTGATAGAAATCATCAATCATCTATGAAAATTACTGTTTATGTCTAGAGCTTCAATGATTCAAGTCAGTTACTCAATTTCCTACAGACTAGACCAGTTTCAACAGCTCTGTACAAACATAAAAAAAACTTCCTAGTTTTCATGTTCAGTCACCTCAAATGACCCCTCATAATAATTTTCACTTAACAAAAGCTGTGGCTGTGCCTCAAATCACATACTATCTTTTCCTAAATGGATAAATCCCACAAAACCTGTCCAAGAACATGCCTGGGTCATATTCCCCTCACCCAACAAACAAACAAACAAACAAAATGTATGAATTTCATGAAACCTATCGAGAACTTGTCAAGATTCATATTTCAACTCAAAAATAAATGAAGAAAATATTCAAACAAATAAACAAAAAAATAAATAAATAAATATTTATGAATCTCAACAAAAAAACAATATGTATGAATCTCATGAAACCTATCAAGAACTTGTCAATGGTCAGATTTCAAATAAAAAATAAATGAAGAAAAAACTTCAAACAACAAACAAACAAACAAATAAATCATATGTATGAATCTCATAAAACCAGTCAAG